TGGAATATGCCTAGTCTCATTAACGTCCTGCTGAAGACCCCACGATTGATCTGACTTCTGTAACATTATGTTTCTATTTTTTGAGGGAGTAGTATGTAAACCAGTTGTATTAGCATCTTGCTGGAGATTCCACGATTGATCTGCCTTTTGCAACATTATGTTTTTGTTTTTTGAGGGAGTAATATGTAAACCAGTTGTATTACCATATTGCTGAAGATTCTACAATTGATCTGCCTTCTGTAACATAATATTCCTATCTTTCAAGAGGGTAATATACGAACCGGACACCTTATCATATTTTTGTACAGGTAATTTAATTTCTCCCATAACATGCCACCACGGCACATAAGAAAGCGCGTTATTGCCAGAATTAGTATACTTACGAATTAACTCATTATATGGACAATAATTCCCACCGGAAAGTATTTTTTGCCACTCTTCAGGATTTCGCATTATAGTGTGCCCTGCATAATTAGTTTTACTGGGTGGGGCTACTTCATTAATTTTCCCTTCTCTTTGTGTAGAAAAAACATAGGTATTATCTTTAAGTCTTCCGTGCAGTTTATCTCGACCAATTTTTATAGATTGCTCTGACCATGGCCTTTCAGAAACTTGAGTGTCAGCATTAACCCCCATCGCTTGAACTAAACCAGAACTTCGACTTTGCATTTGTGTTCGAGCAAGATTAAGATTGGGGCCCATTTGCATTCCTTGAGAATCATTTCCCAAAAAACCTAAAGATAATTCGGGATGATGCACTAGGTTGGCAACTTGACCCCGAGAGCTATGATATCGCAAATTCAAGACAGATTGCAAATGCATAAGGTCTTTACGTGATAGATCACTTTCTAACCAGGATTCTTTTAACTTCCGATCAACGATCTGCCCTCGCGCATAGTCGGTATAATAATCTTCTTGATCGTGGAAAGCGTTCACTTGGGCAATGGCATCAATAAGAAGTGTATTAGTTTCTTCCATTTTCCTATTTAACGCAGACGAAGGCATGCCCCCATAAGGTAAAGCTTGCCTATTGCGAATACAGCGAGTAGTTTTTGTACCATACATCAGAGGTATACAATAAATTATAAAAGATATTATATTACGACTTGCGAAATTTTATTAAGTATATCAACGGCATTACACCAATTTGAATCGGTTGTATATTCAATCAACATGCCTCATAAAAAGAATAGTGGATCAAATTATCAATTAATATACATATAAGTAATTTCACACTATTTTTGTTACAAACTTTTTCAGGATTTTATAGAATTCGACAGAATTTTTACCCGGTGTATCAAATGAGATTCAATCAGACATATACAGATTTAATAAAACAATTACCACCTTCATTACTAGAAGAATCATGGAGACGTTTAACTACAAGAAAGCGCAATCTACTGACAGAATTAGAAGCATGTGGTATAGATCCAGGTATTGAAGATTTTTTGCAACATGAAATTATGATTTATAATAGGAAAAAAGAGCGACAGCGCCGAAGCCCATCACCATTTGAAAATATATCATATAGTATAATTATGACTAATCAGAAAACTCAAACTCAAAATACTGACTCGATGTGTGATCAGACACATAAGTGTCCTTGCTTCGCATGTGAGGAGGAAATTAATTATCACGTTAAGAAAGAGTTGGATAGTTTATCTTTACAATTGCTTGAATACAATGAAAAAACATTTGGCTCTTTTATGCAAGAAATCACTAAACAGCTTGAGGAGTGAATTAATGCTAATAATAAATTGCGCAATGAAATAGATCAACAGAAATTAAAACTGCAAAAAGCGGAAAAATTACTTGCGGGTCTGAAGCCCCATTAATAAACAGTGAGTATATTATAACGGAGCTAATGTCACAGGGTCCAACTCAATATCCAATATTAAGTCTAATGTCAGTTTTTTACTTAACAAGAAGTGGATTGCTTTATTAGATATACACCAACAGTTCACCACATTGAGAACTAGTAAATTAGAACAATAATGTGCAATATTGTATATTGTTTTATTGATAATATAAGTTTTTTGAAAAATAAGATATTGGTTATCTGAGTACGAATGAACTATATCGCACACAGCGTCATCTGTAATTCTGTAAGCAAAAGACAAGTCTAGGTATCGAAGTTTTACACATGAACATGCAATTGCAGAAATTGATATATCTCTGATAAAAGGTTAGGAAGAGAGGTTTAAATAAATTAGATTGAGATATGTTCGTGCCATTTCAATTACAGATACATCAGTGAAATTTATATTATGTAAGGAAGCAATGCTTATATATTCTAATTTTGGACAAGATCGCACTATTTCACTAATGCATCTATCAGTAATGGCTTTACATGCATCAAGACTCAGATGCAGTAGTTTCGGACAATATTTTGTAATTTCTATGATTGGTATATTACTAAACTTATAACTTTGATCAAGAATGAGAAAGTTTATATTCGGACATAAACGCAGGATTACACTGAGTAATGCATCTGAGATTTTTAAACCTGCCAATTTGAGATATACCATCTTTGAGCAATAGGGAGGTTTTGTCTTTTCACACATAACTCTTTTAAACTTCATCAATTGCCAATAAAGAGGTCCAGATATAATTTTACCATGTCAGTTTTGCCAATTATCTTCTATAGAAAACTCAATGCGTCTCCATAAAAATGGTGTACTGCAATGATACCAAAGGTGATTGACGAATAAAGCAGGGTAGAGCGCTTTATCCTCGGTTAAGAAACCAAATATATTTTCAAGTAACTCTGGGATAATAAGAGGATAGGTCATGTTTATTTTTATATAAGCATTAGGAAACTTAAAGTGATTTTTATATCCTTGGCGAAATTAGTATAAATGATTAAAAATTTAATGTGTTTACCTATATCGGCCTTTGGCTGAAATCTCGCTCTATTCATCAACTTGACAGATAGGTACATCCCCACCAAGCTGAAAAATGTCTTGCATATCTGAAATTACGCTCTGGTTAGATAGAACATTTATTATCTTTTAATGCTTCGATTTCCTTTTCTAGATCAAAAGGGATGTCCCATCGAAGTGAGAAAGACTTAGATCTCAGTTTATTCAGATCTATAACTATGAACTCCTTTTGCCTCAAATAGCTGTCAATAATTTTTACAGATTTGCGTGGATCCGCATCAGTATAAGGACTTATAATATCTGTGAGTTTTCGAAGTGAGCCCCCACCATTACAGAGTACAATATGGGTAGCATTTTCATGGAAATTTATAGGAATTTTATGAAATTTTTGAGCAATGTAAATTGAGGAGATATTCTGATGTCGACCTCTACTAAAAAATGGAATGATTTTTTTCTGTATAGCTGGGAGGTCAGAGTAAAGATCCTCAAATATCATCAATGTACTT